AAGAAAGAATGTCTGAAGGAATGAACATACAAATAAGAGACTCAGTGCTATGCCAACAAGATTCTCAAAAACATCAGTACTGGAGGGATTCCTAGAGTTTACCCATCACTGGTACAGCTCTGTCACGACAAGCTAGAGAGACAGAAGGCTTGAAGAAAGGACGAGCCTAAAGACCCACTTCATTTGACTCACTTTACTGAGGACAGGAGAGAGATTCTTCTTACGTGGAAAGAGGAGAAAAATTCTCAGTTCAGTGTTGCTTACCATTTCCCAGCACCCACTTTCCAAATTCATGGAATCCTGAGCTAACCCTCCAAAGTGACAACTTCTACACCACAAATTAGAACCTGGACTTGAAAAGTTTTCCAGCTCTATAAAGCATGAAATGGGAGGAGGGACAGAGAGCAAAGCCAGTAAATCATGAAAAGACCACCCCGTTCACTTGAACCAATAGACTACCCCAAAGAAGACCACATTTGGACCCTGTTTTTTCCCCTTTGCAAGCAAAGTAATGGAGCAGGTGGCAGGGGAAAAAAAGATTGTGAGTTAAGAAAGAGGCACATGATAAATTCAAGTCTATCTTTGAAAGATCAGAGACAAGACTGTTTCCAATCTGTAACAATGCCAAATTTCCAGCAGCTATGGTTATGAAAGGCCTAACTCTGGTAGTGTTGGTCGCCAGATCTTCTCCCCTCTGGGGACCCTGAGTCTAGAAATTCCAGTGAGGGAAACTGTCAGAAAGATACAAAGGGACCTAAGACAGGCTGTTGCCATGCAACACTAGAACAGAGTTCAGAATAATTGTAACTGTCATATTATCTCATCCAGAGAGAATTAGATTTGGAGGCAAGGGAATAGATTAGATGACTTCCAAATATCCTTTCCAGCTCCATCATTCAGTAAAGCAGTTCCATTGGGGGAGGAGGTAAGAGGAAAGTAAGAACAACACCCTAAAACAACCTACTGTCTGCAGGCAGCCAGAGAATGGAAAGTTAGATTAGTGATCAATACTACTTCTATCATTGACTCAAAGAGCAACCTTTCCCTCTCCAAGCCTAACACGAGAGAGTATTAGATTAGTTGGTGTGGGTCCCACAAAGGCCTTCCTGCCCCACCAGCCCCCTTACTACCTAGACGGCTGTTCAAAGAAAAGCCTAAAGGAAATTCCCAAGATGGTTCCTGCCCTATCTGTATCATCTACACTTTCACAAAGGGCCAAGTGAACTTCAGAATCAAAGTGAAAAGATGGCAGGATCCTCTCTCACACAACCTCTATTCCTGATCCTTTCCCCACCCTGAAGTCTGCAGGCAGGGCTGGTTCAAGGGTTAAAAGACTGAGGTTCTGGCTCCTATTTACCAAGTACCACTTTAGTGCCACTCGAGTGGCTCAAGCAATGCTAGGAATGGCAGGAGAATAAACAATTCACATAGCCCCTGTTAAAGTTTAGCTGAATGCCGACCTAGACACCTTCAAATACTTCAGGGAGCTAGGCTCTATGTCTGCTCACATTGATGGTCCCACCAAATGACAGTTGATTATCTTTCCCTTAATCTGCTGATATATGGCTAAAACCCCAGCAGATCAAAGAGGTGTTTCACCAAGACTGATGCTCTAAGACCTAGATTCAAGTCCTAGTTTTGCAACTGACATACTGCATCACTCTAGGTTAGTCTCCCCATAACATGGGTTTCAGTTTCACCATCTATACAACGATAAGAATCGGACTTCATAGTTGTGGAGAGACTTTTCAATACTAAATTTAATAAATCCCAAAAAAGGAAACCAGAAACTCAAGGACATCTTGAAAATTCACAACACCCTCTTTTTTTTTTTTTAGGAAATCCAAAAAAGCCTTAAAGCATTTGTGATCTTAAAAGAAAAAAAAAATTAAAGAAGGTTGTGAGGGGAAAAGCCTTTTTAAATATATATATATATATATATATATATATATATATATAAACTGTTATCATCACCAGAAGATGTACATAGCAATTAATAAGCTTTTCCATTCTGGCTACTAAAGCAGACTCAGGAAACTGGCAACCAGAAGCAGAGTCCAAGGAATGGCAAGAAGGCAAGGGTGGTGGCGGGTAGTGATTTTTTTTTTTTTTTTTTTGAGACAGGAGTCTTGCTCTGTTGTCCAGGCTGGAGTGCAATGGCGCAATCTTGGCTCACTGCAACCTCTGCCTCCCAGGTTCAAGCAATTCTCCAGCCTCAGACTCCTGAGTAGCTGGGATTACAGGCATCTGCCACCACCCTGGCCAATTTTTGTGTTTTTAGTAGAGATGGGGTTTCACCATATTAGTCAGGTTGATCTCAAACTCCTGACCTTGTGATCGACCAGCCTCAGCCTCCCAAAGTGTTGGGATTACAGGCATGAGCCACCGCACCCAGCCAGCATGTTTTAACAGATGTAGGGGAGGTTGGGCTGACTAGGTGGGACAATTGGCTATAAAAGTGAAACTGACCCTAGATAGGCTGTAGACATGCTTCACATGAATGAACGAGTTTGATTTTCCATTACTCTTCTCTATCTGCCATACGCTAGAAATAGCTTAAAGCACATCAATGAAAAGGGAGCAGAGAAAGGGAAATTTTTTCCTTTTTTCATTAAAGTCACTGGTTCGTATTTAGTGAACTAGGATGTGTCCCTGAACAGCTCGACTTTGGGATGAGGAATAAGAAAAGTAACAGGTGGCACCTGGTGACACTGCTGAACCTTAGCAGGACATGACACAAATGCCAGCCTTGGCCACTTTGCTCAAATTACTCATTTCCTTTGATCTGAGGACCATAAAGTTCTGAGAACAGGGGGCAATTTGTTTGGAGCAAGAAAGAGAACTCAAATGTGAAGAACTCAATCATTGGGTCAGAACAGAGGGTCAATCAGAAGAGCATCAGAAAGCCTGGACCCGAGTCTTGGCTCAGTCACCATATGCCCTTAGGTAGGTCTTTTTCTGTAGGCCTCAATTTCCTCATTAGTTTTTTGTTTTTTGGTTTTGTTGTTGTTGTTGTTGTTGTTGTTTGTTTTTAAAGAGAGTTGTCCTAAATAGATAGTCTCCAAGGTCCCTTTCAGGTTAAGATTCTATGGCCTTAACAGACATATAGTTGTTTTTCCTAAAAGTTGACCATTCCTTAAGTCAAAGCACAGAAAATTCTCTAATGCTTCCAGTCTATCAAAATTCAGCCCTCTCCTTCCAATTTAATTCAGGTTTCAGTTAATCTGCATAAAAATGCCTTCAGTATTTAGACACCTTCATTACTCCAGGCCTGACTACAGCTTATACTCCAATCTCTCTCCGTTCCCAGAAAAACAATAAATGCACTGTCTTGTCTTCTTTGCCACTTTGACTGAGATGAGATGGTTCACGCAAGTTTGAGGCAACTTCCAGGCCCATGAAGTTGTGTTTCAAGGTGGGATATGGCAGAATTGAGGATGAGATATGCCACTACAGAAGAAAGGCCATGGAGCAACGTCTATTCCCAGGGATCCACCCAACTGTTCAGGCAAACCCACACCTTAAGAGGAGTCAGGAGTCAACCACAGAGAGAGATCCAAAGAGCCGCTCCTGACAGGATCTTCATAATCCTGTTTTGGCAGACAATGGGGTATTTTCCCCTGTCTCCAAAACCATTACTCTCTCCTTGGGGGCAGGGGAACTGGGAAGAAAGTGTGTAAAAGCCTCATGTCCTAAAACCACAAGTAATCTAAAGGAGATAAACAGTGAAAGCACACATTTTTTGAAAACTTGGTGTTTCTGAAGGACAACGTTCTGGAAAGGCAAGAATGACTTGGCAGTGAGGCTGGTATACAGTAATGTGGCACCCAAAGCTCATCACAAACCCAAAAGGCTAGGCCCCCAACTCGCCTCCTCTCATCCAGGGGCCTTCAGCCCTTTCCAAGGCTACTAGTCAGTATCTCACCTCTACAAAGCTCAAGTAGTCCTGGGGAGACATGTCTGGGAGCACTGCATTGCCTAGGCCAGCCCAACAAGCTGTTTGGCCTAAGGGACTCAAGCCAGGGTAGTCACTAGGCCTTTCTGAGCAAGGGAATGGCCCCAGCAGCCATTTGGCATGACTTGCACAAAAGCAAGCAGAGCTCATTAGTCAGGCACACCCCTCCTCCCTCCTCCCTCCTGGGCATCCGGCCCCCCTAACCCCACTCCCAGGAGGCTTCTGTTCCTCTCATAACAGCCAGTGGGGTGGAGACGCATCCCCAAATCAACCACCACTCTAGAAAGGTGTGGCCCGACGAGAGAACCCACACCACACAAAATAGTCCAGCGGGTATAGGAGGAGATAGAGAGGCATTAAGCAATGGGAGGGGCAGGGATTTGGGGGTGGAGAGGAGGGAGAAACTAGTCCACTCTCCCAGGAGATAGGGTAGGCCTCTCCTCAGACTGGCGCCTAATGAAGTGTTGGTGCTCTCGGGTGCAGCCTCGATGACGATTTCCTCACATCTCTCTCCTCACCTCCTAGTGGAAAACAGCTGGAGCCACCCGGTGAGGCTGTGGGAAAGGTGAGTGGGGGTGTGGGATCCGCCCCGAGCGGCTCCCTCCTTCCTCCCTACTTCTCTGTTCCCAAGGCCCCTCTTGGACATTGGCAGCCTTGCCCCTGAAAGGTGCCAATTCCTGAGCTGGGGGAAGTGTTGTCTTCTGACCAGAATTCCTCTCCTCTGTGCCCATGGCCCGTCAGGGGAAAGGGGAGTCCCCCGGCCCCAACGAAGCCATCCTCACTGTTCCATCTCAGACACAGGGAACTGGAACCTGAGAAACAGGCAGGCCTCGCCCTGTCCAAACTTCCAGCCTGGACACCCCCTCAACCCCTGAGGGCGCACCAGACCAGGATTCCCACTCCGGTCCCCTCCCTACCCTAGGCTATGGCGGAGGGCGCGGCGTCCCAGGCGGGTCGGTGGCTGGCCAAGCCCTCAGCCATCAGAAAACGGCTATGAGACTCAGCCAGAGCCCTTGGGGTCGACAGCGCCCACCCCAGCACTCACCGTTTTGGGCATGGTGGCGGCAAAGGCAGCGGAGTTAGCGAAGTTTAGCTAGGACTGTCGGGCAGTGCTGAGCACGCAGTACACACGGCTCGGATTCGGGTGGCCGGGGACTCAGATTGGGTCCTCAGTAGCGTCGGGGCGACTGTTCGGCTTCCTGCTAACGGGCCACGACTTCGCAAACCCCACCCAGGAAAGAGCCGCCCCCGTCGCGCCGCCCGCTCCTTTATGTGGCCCGGCTTCCGCGCCGCTCCCCGCCCTCGCGCCCGCCTCCCCGCCGACCGCTGGCCTTGCCCCGCCCAGCCCAGCCTGGCCCAGCCCGGCGCAGCCGGGCCACAGCGGCCACGTGGGGGGCCCGACTGGGCCCGAGCGGACCTAGCGGAGCTACCACTCCCGACCCAGACCCACCCCGCTCCTCTCCCACCCTCCTCACACCCCCTAGCCCTCCACGTCCCGGCCTTCCAGCCCCACCCCCACTCAGGGCCCAGACCCTGGGCCGCACCCTGACAGATGATTACGCAGCCCCTGACTGCAACTTTCCACCGATGGGGAGCTCACTACCTATCACAGCTATCTTTTCCTTCTTAAAACAACCCTGGCTCTTAGAAAGTTCTTGCATGTCGGAACTCCTTTTCTCTACGGCTTCCATCCTTGGATCTCAGCTCTGCTCCCTGAGGCCGCACAGATCCCTGTAGTCCCTAACAGCTCCTCAAAGGCCTGAAGATCTCAGGTCCACAGGAAACTACTCTTCGTTTGCTAAACTGCCTCACCTCTTCCAACACTTCATTTATTCTCTTCTGTAGGACTCTCCCCATCATATTTCCTCCCCGTCCTTGCTCAGCCCTCATTTCAACAGACTTGACCTCCTTCTCCCCATTTCTGTTCTCTACTCTTTGCTTCCTCTAAATCCCAGTCTCCACCTCCCTCAAATCAGTGTCCTGATCCTTTAGCCCCTCCCCCAGTACATTCACTTTCTGATGTTCTGATGAATCTGGCTATTAATTCTCTCAGTTTAGATGTGACCTCCCTAGTGCACACCCTTGACATTTGTCTGCCAGCTCCCTTTCTCCTTTTTGTCAGGGTCACAGAATCCCAGGATGGCAGTGTTCTAGACTGTTGCAGTCGTCTGGTCAAGTTTGAGTTTTAGGCTGAGTGCGGTGGCTCATGACTGTAATCTCAACACTTTGAGAGGCTGATGCAGGAGGATCACTTGAGCCCAGGAATTCAAGACCAGCCTGGGGAACATATCAAGACCCTCTCCCGTATCTATATATATAAAAACAAAATAAGTGAGGCTGGGCGCAGTGGCTCACACCTGTAATCCCAGCACTTTGGGAGGCCGAGGCCTGCAGATCACTTGAGGTCAAGAGTTCGAGACCAGCCTGCTCAATATGGTGAAATCCCATCTCTACTAAAAATACAAAAAAAAAATTAGCCAGAGGTGATGGTGCGCACCTATAGTCCCAGCAACTAGGGAAGATGAGGCAGGAAAATCACTTCCAGGAGGCAGAGGCTGCAGTGAGCCAAGACTGGGCCACTGCACTCCAGCCCGGGCAGCAGTGCAAGACTCCATCTCCAAAAAAAGTAAAATAAAATAAGTCTGAGTTTTAGTTTGAAAGTGGCTAGACAGAGTCCTTTTTTTTCTCCTCTCCACTGACAACCATGTGAAGGCATGGTCTGAGTATCCTTTGCGAGGTAAGGCACCACAGATGGTAAGCTGGTTTCAGACAACGGAAAGGACATTTGAGAGGTCAGGAAACCTGGCTTCTACTCATAGCTCTGCCATTAACTCATCGTGTGACCACTATGTGGCCTTGGGTAATTCCCTTCCCCTCTCTGGGCTTGAGTTTCCATTTCTGTAGCAAGAAAGGACTGGACTCCTGGGCTTCCAAGGTCCTTTCCCACTCTGACACTATGAAAGGATGAGAAAGGAAGTTGACTCCCTAGGACAATAGATGAGCCTAACAGGATTGCGTATGGGCTGGTCTTGCATTTGCACTCAGGAACCAGTAGTCTTATTCCCTCCTCCTCTGCCTTCCCAGCCCAACAGTGTCCACAATTCAATGTGCCTCAGTTTCTCTCACAGCTGACAAGATTCCTTCATGTATGCTAGGGTAAACAAAGTTCCCTGCCAAGACCATTTCCTTGAGCTAAGCATTTGTTCAAAGAGCAGCACTCATCCCAAAGCCCAAACAGTCTCCATGAGCAGTTGTCCCCAAGGAAGAGCAGAACTGATCAGAAAGCCTCAGCAGCAGGAGTAGCAATGGCAGCTCATCACACTCCTTAATAATGCCATAGGTCCTTTTTTACCAGAAGTTCAAGGAACTCAACTGATTCCTTCACTCATGTTCACCTAGCCCCCACAGGGACCTGGCACAAAGCTAAATGCCTAAAAACAAAGAAGTTGGTTGTTGACTCCAACTTTCTGGAAAGTGGAAACTCCCTCTGTGTCATTCCCCACCTCCCATGCCAGCTACTCCCCACAACACGCATACACAGGGGAGAGTTGGGTAGAGAGTGTCAAGCAGCTGAACACACTACTAAAAAGGAAACGGGGACTGGGTGTGGTGGCTCACACCTGTAATCCCAGCACTTTGGGAAGCTGAGGCAGATGGGTCACTTGAGGTCAGGAGTTCAACACCAGCCTGGCCAACATGGCAAAACCCATCTCTACTAAAAATACAAAAATTAGCTAGGTGTGACGTATGCCTGTAATCCCAGGTACTCGAGAGGCTGTGGCAGGAGATTCCCTTGAACCCAGAAGCCAGAGGCTGCAGTGAGCAGAGAGTACGCCACTGGACTCTAGCCAGGGTGACGAGAGAGACTCCGTTTAAAAAAAAAAAAAATGAAAGGGGGCATAGAAGTCCAAGTAGGGGTAGGAGGCATCAGAGGCTGGGGGAGCTAAGGAAATAGGGGGAAAGAGGGGCTGAAGGAGAAAGATGAAGTTGGACCTCTGGGGAGGAGAGGATGGGAAACAGAGGGAGAGACTAAATCAGAGATTTAATCAGAGACCAGCTAGGCCAGCCCTCACTCCAGATCAGGGGAACTGGGGATCAGAGAGAGGAAAGGACTTACCCAAGGCAAGGCAGCTAATGTAGAGAAGACAAAGAGCTCAGTTCAGAAACTCTGGCAATAGTACAAGCAAGAAATTTTTAATTTTTTTTTTCTCAAGGTTTATTTTAGATACAGGGAGTACATGTACATGTTTGTTACATGGTTATATTACACTCTGGTAGCGAGCATAGCACTCAATAGGAAGTTTTGCAACCCATGTCATCCTTCCTTCCACCTCTAGTAGTTTTCAGTGTCTACTGTGCCCATGTTTATGTATGTAGGTGCTCAGTGTAAAGCTCCCACTTATAAATGAGAACATGTGACATTACGCTTTCTGTTCCTGCACTAATTCACTTAGGATTACGGCCTCCTGTTCCATCCATGTTGCTACTAAGGACATGATTTTATTCTTTTTTTTTTTTTTTTTTTTTTCTTTCTAAAGAAGAAGATTTTATTATTTCGTTCTTTCCTTTTTTCCTTTTTTTTATGAGACAGAGTTTCACTCTTGTTGACCAGGCTGGAGTGCAATGGCACGATCTTGGCTCACCGCAATCTCTGCCTCCCAGGTTCAAGCAATTCTCCTGCCTCAGCCCCCCGAATAGCTGGGATTACAGGCATGTGGCACCATGCCATGCTAACTTTGTATTTTTAGTGGAGATGGGGTTTCTCCATGCTGGTTAGGCTGGTCTCAAACTCCTGTCGTCACGTGATTCACCCGCCTCGACCTCTCAAAGTGTTGAGCCACTGCACCCGTCCTCTTTGTGGCTGTTGTAAATGCGGTTGTGTTCTTGAGAAAAACTGGTATCAGTCCTACTGAAACTATTCTTTAAAAAAATTGAAGATGGCTGGGTGCAGTGGCTCATGCCTATAATCCCAGCACTTTGGGAGGCTGAGGCAGGCAGATCACAAGGTCAAGAGATTGAGACCATCCTGGCCAACATGGTGAAACCCCGTCTCTAATAAAAATAAAAAAAATTAGCTGGGTGTGGTGGTGCATGCCTGTAGTCCCAGCTACTCGGGATACTGAGGCAGTAGGATCACTTAAACCCAGGAAGCAGAGGTTGCAGTGAGCCAAGATCACACCACTGCACTCCAGCTTGGCGACACAGTGAGACTCCACCTAAAAAAAAAAATTGAGGCAGTAGAGCTCCTCGTTAACTCATTATGTGAAGCCAGCATGAGCCTAATACCAAAATCTGGCAGAGACACCACAAAAAAAGAAAACTCCAGGCCAATATCCCTGATGAGCATAGATGCAAAACTTCTTTTTATTTATGCAAAAATTCTTAACAAAATAGTGCAAATGAATCCAACAGTACGTCAAAAAGTTAATATGCCATGATCAATAGGCTTCATTCCTAGAGTGCAAGGTTGGTTCAACATATACAAATCAATAAATGTGATTCACCACATACACAGAATTAAAAAAAAAAATATGATCATCTCAATAGATACAGAAAAAGTTTTCAATAAAATCCAGTGCCCCTTTATGATAAAAATCCTCAACAAATTGGTCATCAAAAGAATATACCACAAAATAATAAGAGCCATTTATAGATTACTCACACCTGCAAGCCTGGCACTTTGAGAGGCCAAGGCATTCGGATCACTTGAGGTCAGGAGTTCGAGACCAGCCTGGCCAACATGGTGAAACTATATCTGTATTAAAAATACAAAAATAAGCCAGGTGTGATGGCAGGCACCTGTAATCCCAGCTACTTGGAAGGCTGAGTCAAGAGAATCACTTCAACTCAGGAAGCAGAGGTTGCAGTGAGCTGAGATCACACCACTGCACTCTAGCCTGGGTGACAGAGCAAGACTCCATCTAAAAAAAAAAAATGAGCCATCTATCACAAACCCATGGCTAACATCATACTGAATGGAGAAAAGCTGAAAGCCTTTCCCCTAAAGAACTGGAAGAAGAAAAGGATGCCCACTCTCACCACTCCTATTCAGCATAGTACTGGAATTCCTGGCCAGAGCAATCAGGCAAGAGAAAGAAATAAAAGGCATCCAAATAGGAAAAGAAGAAGTCAAGCTATCTCTCTTTGCTGATGATATGATTCTATACCTAGAAAACCACATAATTGCTGCCCAAAGGCTCCTAGATCTGATAAACAGCTTCAGCAAAGTTGTAGAATACAAAATCAATGTACAAAATCAGTGACATTTCTATACATCAATAATGTTCAGGCTGAGAGTCAA